AAAGATCCCAAGGGGAGGCAGAGTAACAGACAAAACGTTATCGCTGCAAATCAGATACTAATCTCAGTACAGAAAGTTAGGCAATTTCCAGGTTCATTCTTCTCATTGTTTACTTAGATCCTACTGGCAGGTTACGTTAGTATTTATTAAGCCAGCTCCATGGCAAGGGAAGGACATAATACTCTGGGATTACCTCTCCAACAAGAAAGCAATCATACTACATAACTATTATACAAGTAAAAAGTGTTCTGTGTTGGTATGTCTTGCAAACCCACAATATCACATTTTTCTTACCATTATGAACAATCCACCATTTTGTTCGACTTCAGTTGTTTCCATAAGCAGTTCGAGAGCTTTTTTCTTCCCAATTATTTTCACTACTCGTGCAATTAAATCTTTCTTTGGTTCACAAAGCCTGGAGGGAGAGAAAAAAGGGCAAATTTATTGTCAGTGTAATTTCTTGAGTAAACTACCACGGTACTTCCATGACGAATAATTAATTTTCTGACTCTGCTCAGTTTGCAATAACAGCAGGATTGTGAAAAGAACTGGATGGTGCTAAGTGTGCATATGGCTGGAGCTTGGTAACCCAACCACTGGCTTCCATAAACCAGCACAGAACTGCAGTTCAGTTTCACAACACCTGAAGAGGCAACACTTGGTTTCAGTGTCAGTGTCCAACCTTGGCAAAGCCCCTAGTTACAAGAGCAGCAAAATGTTTCCTCAGGCAAGCATGTTCCGCAAAGAATATGTGTATTCTGGAAGCTGTGCTCTCCAAAACACTACACAGTCTGAGTCACCTACAGTTTCAAAGAGTTACAGTTCGGTCAGACTTTCACACAGTCCACAGCAGTGTTCACTGGTGTCCAACTCCAAGCACGCATCTTTACTCATCTGCTAGTTCCTAAAGAAGCCACCACTAAATCCGTATCGTGAGAAATAATATTCTTCCTTGCCACTGTTCTCAAACAACAAACCGTCTTGGTAGATCTTTAAAAGAATTTCAAAAGAGTTAGACAGCGCTACTGGATGCTTCTACAAGATACCTGCTGGAATACTGCATTTTAATTCAGGCTTTTGGAAGACAGACAATGCACTCATGCTTCTGTCTGAATTTAGCAGTAAGAAAGCTCTCCCCCCCTTCTTTTCCAGCAACAGTTTAGTAATACTTATGGAACTGAAGATACACTTATTAAACTCACCGATAAGCAATTTCATCGGCCACTTTTTCTTCTGGGTCTTCTTCTGTTATCTCATACCTTCCTTCATATTTCATTTCTTGTCTTTCACCCAGCCTGTCTTTTACCGTCCGCTTCCGTTTGAGGATGCCTTGATCTTTTTCTTCCTCTAATGTTTTCTTGTCACCGTGCATGTATTCATCTAGTTCTTTATCTAAAGACTCTGCCTCCTTTTGCTGAGCTTCCTTCATCAGCTTTTTAGCCAATAAATAATTGTAAGTCTCAGACTCCCTGCTTCTGTCAAGACTACCATCCATGCCTAGAATGCCAAGTTCAGCAGCCACTGCATCCTGATTCTGCTCCTGGAGCACCACACCCCAAATATTGTTGACTTTCTTGCCACCTTGAGCAGTTTGGTCTTGGTGGCTCGGGCTAAGCTGAAAAAGCTCAGATTTAGCAGGAGGAAAGTTGAAACATTTCTGTCGTTTTCGTTTCCACAAATAGCTATCATCATCAGATTCAGAAGAGCTTTCGTCACTTGAATCCACATTTTTGGTTGTCCGGTAAGGAACATTTGGTGCACATGATGAACTGCTGCTCTGGAATGGTCTGCCTGAATCACTATCATCACGTGACTTCTGAAATTAAAAAGTAAATGTCCATTAACTAATTATTTTTGTAAATTAAAAGAGCTATCAAGTCACAACAAAGATTTGATTAGCTAGTAAACTTAATTTTGACTCAACTGACAGGGCAGTCCTTTGTGAGCGTCTTTTGGACTACGGTTAACACAAGCATCCCCTGCAACTTCTGTATTTTGAATGCTCAATATGAAAGACAGCACAGCTACTATCAAAAGCATATCAGGAGCTGCTAATCTACTTCACCCAATTTTTGTTGAATGAAATAAAAACTATCACGAGTGGAAAAGCTACTAAAATTCCCAAACTGGACAGACACAACGTGCATGGCAGTTCTAAGAAAAATAAAATAAATAAAAAAAAGAACTACAGCAGCAACTTAACAGAAGGGTATTTTTTTTTTTTTTCTTTTTTTTTACAGTACCGAATTTAACACCCTCTCCGGAGTCTGAAAGGTGTCAGGAATAGTGATCTACAACCACAATGCTGTTCCCAAAGACTCAACTGAGAAGAAAATTTGACCAGAAAACCCAAAACCAAACCCACAAAACCTGGGATGCTGCTCAGACTTTGAGACGCTAACAGTGTATTGTGATTCTAATTCAACCAGGAAGGTGCATGACCAGATGGGGGACAGGAGTACCTCACAGCAGAACTGAGTTTTCCTTTCTTTAAACCAATAAGCCATCAAAGACTCACTATGGCTTCTTATTAATTAGGTTGTTTTTAATTTTTCCCTAAAGGTTTCAACATATTTGTGTGTCCTGGTTTGGGATAACACAACTCATTCTATCAGCTAAAGCTCTTCTAACTAGCTGCACTTTCTGAGGATAACAGCATATTTTTGCAGACAGTGTCTGCCTCTAGCAGTGATAATGCTCCATGTTTCAAGTTACTACCAAGGACTGGTGTGCAGAAGGGCTCTTGCTTATACTTGCTCCTGTAGAAACTAAGGTCACTGCTAAGTCTTGTGTACCATATTAGGGGTGCAGAAAGTAAAAGGCCACACCTGTATGGAGAAGCAGACAGGTGACCCTAAGCTGAGCAACAGGAGACTCCACTCCATACACGTCATCCTTGGTGTAAAGCTGGGGGATCACAAGTCTCCCTCCCTCTCTGTTGCTTCCCCAACGGCCGGCATCTGAGGAGGACTCTGAAGACAATACGAGACACTGCGAAACAAGCGACACCTCCTGAGCGTTTCAGGGGTGCCAGAGCGTTCTGGACTCCGGGAAAACTGCCGAAGGCCACTCGTTGCTCTCGCGCGCCGTTACCGCAGCTCTTTCCCACGGCTCCCG